ATTTTTTTATTTATAAAAAATACTGAAAAGTAGCTGGATTTTTTTTTCTATTTATTGTCAAGTTCTTCTCAATTAAGTTTTTATATACTTCAATATTAATATTTTTTAAGATAATTTTAAGGTATATTCTCAAATTAGCTTAATAAATTTAAAAAATTAATCTGTAACTTTAAAAATTAAAATTTGAGTACAATTTATAACACAATTTTTATTTATTATTTACTTATAAATTCAACCCTTGAATTATAAAAGAATTTTTTTTATGGTACACCTTATAAATTATAAACCGAGAATAACCCATCATTTTTTTTCAAATTCCTCTCCATTCTATCTGGTTGAAGATTTAAATTTACAATTTTTAATAAAAAAATCTTAATTAATTGAGTCATCTTTACGTAAGATGTATGAGGATTGATGTTTAGATAGTTAAGACAAAATAAAAAGCACGCGCTTTCACAGCTACGTAAAGTAACAAAAACCCATTAGAATCAGATTCTTTCCAATAAAACACAGCTATAATATAAACTAAAAAGCAAATATCCAATCCAGACACCCTCTTGTCTTCTCCAGGACTTCATCAATATCTTACAGGTAAATCTGAATCTTCTCGATTCTACGATTCAAAATTCTTCCATAATTGTTTCAATTTTTTATTTCGATTTCTTCCCCATGAATTGTGAAGTACCATAATGACTGCAGTCTCGTGATTTTGCCTTTTTTTTTCTTTTCTCGTTTTCGGAATTAAGATTAATGATTCCCAATTCAAATTATGTTTGATTTGGTGATTTGATCTTTCATAATGCCATAAGTATAATGTGGATTTTTTTTTTTTTTTTTGTGGGTGTGAATTTGTAGTGTATTAGGGGAATATGATTGCAGTAATAGATCTTGGGAAGCAGAGATTATGGAACATATAATTTTCCTAGTATTTTGGAAGAAAAATTAGTCAGGTTTATCAATTTGATTGGGGTTCCATTTTATCCTCTGATTTTGTGAATAGTTATTGTTTGATGAATACTTTGTCCTCCGTAATGAATAAACAATTTTTATGTTCCTAAAAAAATTATTATTATATTGAGGAATAAGGAATGAAAGTCTTATTTAAAGTTCGTAGTCATATCGGCTTTATGAAACAAAAAAAAACAATTGTTTGCATGAAAGTGATGAAATGAAAAGGATTTTGGCTGTTTCTGTCTTACTCAATGAGGAATTTTCTTTATACATCTCTGAACTGGTTTTTAGGGCGTGCAAAATGAAAATTGAGCGTGTGAATTGAAATATAAGATTTGTATCTAATTTAAAATTAATTTTTTATAGGTGGAGTTATCTTTTTTATATTTTCATTCAATTTTTATTATATTCTAAATGTGAAATTTTCTTATTCAACACTAGGGTTATGACATGAGGTTTTAGTTTGACTGTTATTTCTCTGAGTGTGTAAGAAAAGCTTCTTTAGGGAAGAGTTGTTTCATTTAACCACCTATTACTAAATGTGAAGAATAAATACTTTTCCATGCTTGGACCAATTGTTGAACTCCACAACTTAGTGAGTTCAGATGAAATTTAGTCATGTTTTACTGCTATCAAATCTTCATTCCTGACCTAGAAAGGTGAAAATGACATGCTGTTGTTTCCCTACCTTGAAGGTGTTTGGAACAAATGGCTTTGGTTACAACTGCTGAAGTCTGTGATGCAAATACACAGCTTATTGTCAGTGGCGAACTTCGGGCTCTCCAGCCAATCTTCCAAATATATGGTCGGCGCCCTATCTTCTCTGGACCTATAGTTACCCTAAAGGTATTTGAAGATAATGTTTTGATCCGTGAATTTCTTGAAGAGAAGGGTAAGGGCAGGGTTCTCGTTGTAGATGGTGGTGGCAGTCTGAGGTGTGCTATTTTGGGGGGAAATCCTGTTGTGCAAGCTCAGAATAATGAATGGGCTGGTATTGTTGTTAATGGCTGTGTAAGGGATGTTGATGAGATAAATGGGTGTGATATTGGGGTGAGAGCTCTTGCTCCGCATCCAATGAAGGCCAATAAGAAAGGAGTTGGACAGAAGCAAGTCCCAGTAACCATTGCAGGGACTAGAATTTGTGATGGGGAGTGGCTTTATGCAGATACTGATGGTATCCTGGTTTCTCGAACAGAGCTGTCTGTTTGAGATCTTTTTCAACCTAAGCTTGATCTCGATGAGGTCTTCTGCTGCCAGCCATCTATTCTGAAATAAGCCGTGTAATGTATTATGGATCTCTGACAATGAAGGTATGATTATCTTATCGTTAACCTTCTGCTATGTGTGGTATATCATCGATTTACTATAACACTTGACTGTTGCTGGATGAGTTGAAAGCACTTTAAAACAACATGCTGCATATTCCTCACAACAATAAAACTTATTTGGGTCCCTTTCATTTTCACCTATATCTCACAATGACATTGATCCCGAATTATGGATATTAGTGATAGGTGAGCACAAGAGGATATCTAACATGTTATCTAACAAGCTGTAAGTGATGGAACGATACCTGCAATGTCAAAAGATATGAATTTACCTAATCAAAACAACATTTTGATCCATTTCACTACTAGCATAATAGGCATGAAAACTAGCAGCAAAGGGTCAGGGCAAAGATGCAAGGCATAAATATATTCAGTGGCAATTGCATTCAGTTCCGGACCTGAAGAAAAACAACTATTATTTAAGTTTGGTTAGGATGTACAGTACTCCATCCTAAAAATGACCACATCGCAATTGCATAGATAGATTAGTTCAAGGGACTAAGACTGCCTATTTGCCAGACACAAGGGCATCTATTTTGTCCTCGAGGTGTGCTTCATGATCTTCAAGGCGACCCTTGATGGTGTCATTCTCCCAGCTGATCAGCGTGGGTACTCCCGTGAGCTTGAATCTTGGATCAACCCTCCAAGGGTGGTTAGGATTCCTCCATGTTGGTCTGTCACCAACATAAGCTCTGAGAAGAGCAACATCATCAGATGAAGCTTCCAGCTTCTTATATATCACTGGTTCAGCTCTCACACAATCTACAAACAAACAACATTTACAAAGGAAATGAATTCTTAAAGGTCACCAAAACATCAAGCCAAAACCCACTAAATCTATTTTAGGCTTCCTTTGACAATGTTTTTCAGTCTTGTAGTTTTTAAATTTTTATGTTTTTTTACTATTTTAAAAACATATAAAATATATTTTATATATATTTAAAATATTAAAAAATTAAAAAACTTACAACTACAATTATATGCTAGTACTATTAAACTAAGCTTTAAGCAGTTCAGAAAAGCCAATATTACTCCAATTGAATTGAGTCAGCTCCCCTTATATAAGAAGTCTTTCCAAATCCTACCATTTAAGATATGCTACTCAGTAACATCAATCATTTCAACAGTTGAACTTAGAAGTCTATGAATGAATAATAGGACAGTTCAAATGACGTCTCGCTCTACAACTAATTTTATTTAATGATAGAAAAAAGAGAAAATTAAGACTTCAATGTGCATGTGACATTTAAATTATTTATTAAGGTTGTTTTTGATATTCACGTGAAGTGGTGTAATTGTAATTTTTTTAATGTTTTATTATGATAAAAATTATGTTATTATTTTAATAATTATTTTAAAAATAATTTAATATATTAATATAAATATTAAATTATATAAAATATTAATTAAAATTAATTTATTAATAATAAATTAATAATTTTATAAGATATTATATAAAAAAAACGTAACAAGAAAACAATCTCAAACACAATAAGTATTTAAGTTTTTTATAGGAATTCCTAACATTGTTGAGATATTTTCATTTTCCACAATTCTATAAATTGAATTTTTTTTCTTTACTCCCTCCATTTT